AAACATGGAAGAGAGGAAAAGACAGAGAGAGAGAAGGACTGTGTGTGTCTGAGATGGCAAAAAATATCCAGTTCCTTCCCAAACAAGCTGTGATAGATATTTGTTTATAAGGTGGGTTTTTCTGAAATTTGATACTTCATCACAACTAATTATTTTAAAGGATGCTGTCAAGACAGAAGTGAGAGATTTGGAAAATCTCTTCACGTGCCAGCGGCCAGGCCGGAGGTTAGCCACAGCACATGACATTTCACCAGCTCCACTAGACAGCTGCGGTTTCCATGGTTTGCAAAATGCAAGTGGACAAACTTTCTCCTTTCCCTTCTCACGCAGCAGGCACGATACTGTCTGTCGGCTTTGTGTTTTCAATTGAGACACAGGAAATATTGCAAAGGAAAAATGAATAAAGTAACTGCGTCAAGGCCTTTCACTTACACATACACACCTGCCTCTGTCTGCACGATCAGGCCTTGGGTTCGTACGCTGCCGTCCCACCTGTCCTGCGGAGCAGCTTGCAGTCCTAGACAAGCAAGCTGCACTGCCGCATGAGTTTGCTGGAAGTTCAGAAACTGCTGCACCAAAACCCACCTCAACCCCACTGATTCTGTCAAACAGCAGGGAACAAAGAGGCTTGCTGCTTTGCTTTTGGGGAATAAGGTGTAGCATTTGAACTTTGCACCCATTCAGACATTTCCAAGCTTGCTTATTAAAAAAAAAAAAATTATTCCTTCCTTAGCTCTATTTAAAAAAATCAAAAAGACAAAAACATTTCTAGTAGTTACTTCTATTTTGGCATGTAAAAAGACTTAAACGTCAGAGCACATAAAAAGAATTAAGCAATAAGAAAAAAGATCAAGACTTTCTAATAAGTCACTTGCCTTGAAGGTTCAGGAAGCGACTGAACACTTTAAAACAAAGCTACTGAGGGGTCCTTACCACTGCGTGGACTGGCAGCTCTGGACTTCCCAGGGGTTAACAACCCTCGGAGCTCCATATCTGAAATGGGAAAGTCAAACGACTCCTTTGGAAATCAAGAGGTAATTTCCCCAAGGCACAGTGTAATCTGGTCACTGATTGCTGATGCAATAGAACATCTCTTTACACAGCACATAAATATAGGTCTAAAATAAATAGCAAGAAATAAATCATCCAGTATAAGGAATTCAAGCTATCCGCAACTCACTGCTTCCAAGGTCATCAATAAGGACAGAGACACCTGACCGGTGCCTCCGGGGAAGGAATCTGCCCTTGTCCCTGGCGGGGAACACCAGAATGCCCCATCGGGGCTGCCAGCCAGCGCAGTCCGACAGGCGCTCGCTCTGAACCTCCCGGGAAAGCGAGCTGCACAAGCCCGGCGCTGCCGGAGGATGGGGAAAGCTCAGCTTCAGCCCTTCCATCTCAGAAACCTATTAACCCAAGGGGGCTAGAAGGGAACTCGGGCCGTGCTCCCTGCCAGACACCTGGGCAGAATGAGACCCACCGCAGGGCCAGGTCTGAGAAAGAACCGTGCTTTTTTCCACAAGTGCATCTGAGGGGGTGTGTGTGTGACTGTGATCTACACCTACACGGGGAGTCTCAGCTGTTTTGATGAAATAACCACAGTTCTCGTTTGCAGTAGCGCACTCCGTGGGGCACTGGGCAATGCACTCGGCGTGCTCAGCAGTAGCTAACCCTAGCAGGCAGAGCGTCAGCTGATGGGAACTTACTTGGTGGAGCACAGGCTCAGGCTCCCTGGATTTTCTGTGCACATGAAAACTAATACAAGGTCTCAAGCTGATGGGTTTTTTTTCTTGTAATCTACTGAAATTCAGTGCGTGATTCACCAAACATCCCTATTTCAAGACGTACTAATTTGTTTCTATAATGCATTTAAGGAAAAGTGTGTCTTCTTTCACATAGGCATATTTGGGTGACTGTAATTTGGACAAAGGGAGGAACATGGGACAGCCACTTGCAACATTCATGTCATTCACTGGTCTCTGAAATGAAGCAGAAGTCAAGTCCGGGCGAAACGCGTCAATAATATGTTCCCTGTTATTTTGGTCCAGCAACATAAATGTAACCTGAAAAACAGAATGCAGCAATGATGAGTTACTGCACTGAAAAATAAACCAGAAAAGACAGAAGTGCAAACATGCTGTAAAAGCAGCTGGATGCTCGATCGATAATTAAATACAAATTGTAACGAATGTTTCGCAACCTGCAAGGTCAGTTAATGTGAACAAGGGAGACTGTAATGGTTCCCAGATGAAGTATTTAAAACTTTGCCACCCGTAAAATAAAATTAAATAAAATATAGTATGGAATTACTTCTTGGTAGAGAACTGCACAGCCCAAAGACTTTTTTCCTCTCTCTCCTGACAACTTAAAGAAACCCCAAGTTTCGTTACAGTCATTACATTCATTCTGTTATTGTGGTTTGGAATCAAAAGAAATGGCTCAGTTGCCTTTACGCAAATATGTAAAAGACACAACCTAAATATCAGTATAGAACCCCCCCATCTCATTACCACTTTTATTAACTCACTCTTCTTTAGCTTTAAATGTGAAACGTATGTAATAATTTTTTAATACAGTGAGGACTGGGAGCTTTGATTTCTATTTTTTTTGGCCGCTAAATGGTAGTAAGGCTATTTATACGAAAGGTTTACAGAATTATTACCACATGAAGGCAAGTGCTAGAACAGAGATCAGAACCCTGTGCATACTTTCACTGCTTTCCTAACCATTGTTGCGATTATCAGATTGCACTTACAAAATGAGAAAAAAAAAGATCAGGATCACATAAGACATCTATGGCACATTTGTAAGTAGAAGCTTGTGCTTCAGGCAGCAAATCTTAATTCCCTCATAAAACTGCTATTATCTATGTATAGCAAGAGCCAGGAAAAAACGTGTCTCTGGCTTTAGCCCAGGTGGACACAGGTTGGCATACACCAAACACCAGTATTCTGGTGTCTGAAAATCACAAGGCAAAGTATGGAATCTCGCTAGGAGCAGCTTTCCCTGTGTATAAGTCATTCCATTCAGAGACAAATTATTACCCAAGATTACAGTCTGGCTAGTAGCCACCGGAGAGGAAAATGGGAAAGCACTCCAACTTCCACTAAACTCCAGAGAAAAAGTCCCCTTGTGTTCACTGGGAGAAGTAGTGGGTTTAAGCTAGGATCAGACAGGAAAAGGTCGCCCTTCTTACCTTGTGTCTGAAAGGCCATGGGAGCAAAGCATCGTAGTCTCCTTTCATGACCACAAAGAAGAGGGACATGTGGGTTCCCTTTCCTGTCCCATCCCCATTCAGGTAAACCCTCAGACAGACCTTGTAGCCATACTTGGCAGTGTAGAAAGCTGAAAATCAGAATGCTTCATTAGTAAAGCCTCCTTTGAAAAAAAGGCATAATGAGTGTTCTGGCATACAGGAAAAGAGAGCGTATGACATGTTTTGGTATCACAGAGGTAAGAACAGACAAATCAGTACAGGTTGGAGATTTTAAGCAATGAAAATCCAGTGGTTGGAATCCTTTTAGTGCCTCATGCCTTGATGAAAATTACCTGTTATGAGCCACACAGGCATATTTTACCTAATCAAGTTACTTCTCACATGGGAGATAACTGCAGCAGAAAGGCACTGGGTCCCACCAGGCCCCAAGCTGTGGGTCAGACAGGACGGATCCAGCAGATGCCACTGCAAGTAGCTGCGGCTGAGGGCAAATTGCAAAATGAAAGCCCAGAATAGAACACAACTCTCTGGAAAAACACATCACAGCTGCCCTGAATTACAGGCAGGGGAGCATGAGGCCTTTGCACGAACAGCATCTTAGTTTAAGGAGCTATTTTAAAGGACCCCCTGTCCACATGAGCAGAAAGAAGCACCGTTCTAGAGAAATCAGTGGGTTTTCTAAAGGACTGGGTTTTGCCAACACACGTATACGTCCTGTGTTTTACCTGGCGAATACAAACTGACTGTTCTTCCAGTCACAGAGTCTTGTAACTTCCTGCCAACATCCGTTATTTTCCACAGAAAGACCCCATCGTAGGAAGCTTGCTCAGAGAACAGAAGACTCTTATGAAGACTGCTCAGGCCCGCATCCTTCTGCGTCAGGCACCGGTGCAACTCTGCAATCTAGAAAAAACAAAACAGTTCTCAATCAAACCCCCTCTCCAGGCTGTTGTGCTGCAGAAGTAGCAGAATCGTTCTGCATTCCTCATGTTCTGGAGGACATGATTTCTTTTTAAGTGACAGTTACGTGTCAACACATAAGACAAACAACTGGATAGACAGCTGTTTGGTCCTCCAGGCATAATGCTGCTTCAAGAGGATCAGTCAACTAAACTGTCTTGCTTGCTCACAGTTCTGATCATGGCAAACTCTGAAAATTTAGAACTCTCAGGAACATCTGGGTACCTAAACATGGATTTAGATAACAAATATTAAAGTTCCCCATTTGAAAATTTACCCAAAACATCAAAAGGATCCTGTAGATGTGTCCAGAACTTCACACTTCATAGCTCAAGTTCCTGTGCCCATCCCTGTCCTGATCTCTACGCCACCTCTCACTGATAGATGTAAATATTTGTTACCTACAGAACAAGCGCACAGACAATGCTTATCATAACTACTTACCTTCAGTTCAAGGCCCCGTATTATATTTTGATCAAGTTCATTCTGTCTCCGAAAGGCTGTGATTTCCAAGTTAGAGGTCTCTACCTCTTTATTGAGCACTGCCACAATATTCTCAAACACATGTAACTTATTTTCTAGCTCAGAAATCACTTTCTCCCTCATAAGTTGTTGCAGAACAGATTCATCTTCTGAAACAGAAGATCCAGGAAAACAGTCTACTTCCAGATCGCCATTAATTTCCAGCCCCACTGGGATCTGCAGATCAGAGATGCTTTTTCCTGCACCATTCACATTCAGCTCCGACTGTGAGATGAAACCATTTGCAGTGCTGGCAGCAGTGCACAAGCTTGCCTTCAGTTGCTTTATGTGCTGCAGCAGAAGCAGCATGTGGGCCCCAATGGCAGTTTTTTCATGGTCCTTTATCTTCTCTTTGCTTCCCTGTAAGAAGACAACACTGTCAATACACTCTCCTGGGGCCTGGGGTCAAATCAAGCGATGTTCTCTTTAAGGTCTTGGGAGAGACAGAGATGGAAAAGCTGCAAGATGCAGGTCCAGCTACATAGCAGCCAACTCTCAGAGGAGACATGGAGAGAGGAAAACCAACAAGCCCTCTCACGATCAGTTTAGGCTATGTGCTCACATGTGTACGCGTGCTATGTAAAACGAACACAACTGGCTACAATTTCTGTATTAAACAGGATGCCAGGCAGAGTCCCAGCAAGATTCTCAAATAAGCCAATATTTAATACATATATTGTGCACAAAAGATGAGATAAGGCAACAGATGCCAACTAAAATGCAAAGGAGACCTGTTACTGTTTTAAGAGGTGTTACCCTGATGGGAATATCCAAAACAGGGTAGAACAGCATATCTCATAAACCAGCAGAATTGTAATAAACATCTATTTTTATCTGAGGTGAATGCACAGTGCAGGTTACAGAGTATCACCAGCTGAACAGCACCTTTCACACACTGTGTAACCACGGCAGTTCCAGCATCACCTCTGCTGGTCTACTAAAAGTGGATAGACTTTCTCTCTTTTCTTAAAGATGTATTTAAATCAAGGCCTACTGCCTTGAACACAAAGGCTGGCTAGACCAAAGGCACAGTGCTGAGTTGTACACCATTTGACACCTTCCTGAAGGTAGCTGTTTCACTCACCCGAAATGAACAGCCAACTTCAGAAAAACGACATCCATCCTTGTTGATTAAGGGTGTAGAGGGGTTCTGTTGGGGGAAAAAAAAAAAAGGAATGAAAATAATCAAATACCAATTGAAAGGGATTCTTTTATTTACCTGCAAACAACTAGGCCACAATCCCAGCAGCTATAAATCAGGTTAATTCAAGTCAAGGCATTAGCGCAGCTTACAGCGCTCAATCAGCTTTGCAAATTCATTGGTAAATCAATAAAGACACTGGTTGCTTGCAAGTTTCTTGCACATAGCCTGGCAGTTAAGCGTTCACCTAACAGACCCGATAATGTTATAATATAATTTAACAAACTGCAGTGATCCTCTAGTAACAACTTCTCATAAATAAGATGCCAATAAGCAAAGTGGCCCACCACAGTGGATAACACCATGCGCACAGCCATGCCAGCCCTCTTCCTGCTCCTGGAGAATGCACAGAAGAGCTGTGTTGTGTAGCACGTCCTGGGAACGAATGGACCTATCAGACCAAAAGCTCTGACTGACGTTCACATTTAGTCCCCTTCACAACCAAAAGCATGTCTCTTTAAATATGCTGCTATACACCATACTCTTCTTTTGCTCATGTGGGTCTCCCTGAATATTTGAAAGGAATCAAGTATTTCCCCATTTTTGTAAGATTAATTGAGAAGAAATTTTAGTAAAGTCAATTGTGGGAGCAGGGAAGAGAAGGTAGTCAGCAGAGCTATGCTGGGATGTAAAAAGCGCCCAGATACAACTGCCGTATGTGTAGATGTTCTCAGATGTTCATTTAATCTAGATGAACAAGTGATACTTTTATGAATTGAAATAAAGCTGTATTCCATGCACTCATCTTTCACCTACCTTTTCCTTTGATGGTGTTTCTGTCTGCACATGTTTTTGTTCCTGACATAAACTGCCTTCACATGAATGTTCCTGTCATTAAGATGAAAAGAATTCAGTACATTATTAAAATCACTGAGCATCTTTATTTAGGAGTCTTTGAAACAAAGCTTATGTTTGGGAATGCTATCCCCATTTTACAGAAACTTGGGGATTTGGGAGGCTCTTCTGCAAGAAATTCTGTGTTATGGAAGAAAAAATTTACAGTAAGTTTCTTGCCTTCTTCCTGGGAGATGTGGATTTAAGGAAGAGTAAAGGAAGGAAGGGTAACTTCCCCAGGAGCACTACAAGCTCCACAACACATGGTGCAAAACCCTGTGCCCCTGTCCAGAGCGTGCCCGCTCTGGGCCTCACTATGCAATAGGCTGCCGACTTCTCTGGTTTCTTTTTAGAGGAAATAACGTTCAGAAATGTGGCACTAAAGCACATCTGCTAAAAGCGGGCGCTGCTGTCCCCTGTACAACAAATTGCAGACTCAGAGGTTTCTCAAGCTAAGCCTCTAAGCTGGTTACTCCTCTCCTCAGCCTGGCAGGCGCGTTCAGTGACTGATCTCCAGATGCAATACCTGTTAGGTGAAAGTACAAAGTGGGACCTTTCGCTTATGGGACCCAGAGCTTTTGGAAACTAGTTACAGATGCTTTGCAAGATCACCCTGCGAAATATGATATAAGATAGGCAACATACAAGTCTCATGCAGTTCAAATACACACACATATATGTACACACACATATACATGCAATGACATGCAGGTGGCTTACAGAATGGAAAGCAAACGTACAGGAAACCCAAATATAAACTCTTCTTGCGTTGCCTTCATATAGTCTGCCTAATGTGCGGGCCCTTCTTGCATCCTGCTTATTAACATTTTGAAGGATGGAATCTGAATTTTCCATCATGATGTGCTAATGCAAAATGCATTACCACTAACACGAGATTTCCTGCCATTTCTGGCTCCAAGAAGGGTAAAGTAATCCTCCTGCCATTGGTTCATACAACTGTAATACGTGTGCTTAACACAGCAACTGTCAAGCTTTCAATTCATACCATTCAGGGGGACTGGCTTTAATCTTTATAAATGCCTTTGCATGCCAGTACATTTCCTATAGCAGTCAGAAATTTTTTGATAAAGCTATTCCAGCAACGTTCAGGTCTCCCCTGCAAAGAGTCCTGAGGTTTCTCTTTCGATCCTCAGAAATGCAGCCATAGGTTTTTCTCACTCTCTAACTCTTTTTTTAATACTCCTTGTCTTAGCTATTGCACAAAGTATGCCTTTATTTTCTTCCTTTCTGCTATTTGACTCCTTCAGATCGCCGATTTCTTGAGGGGGAGAGGGGCTGGTGAGATGTTTCTTTAAAATATGGGAATACAAAAATCACAAGACCAATAACTGATTGACTAAGATGGAGAGAGCGCAAGCAGTGCCCAAAACTTACTATTTGCTCCCAGAAGATTGTGGATACATGGAATACACACAAATAATCAAAATTCTTATGTCAACTGCAAATTTAATAAAGCGGATCCTGTAACCAGCAAAATTCCAATTTTACAAATACTAGGGCAGGCCGAGAAAAATTAACATCTCGAAGCTAATCCCCTGCTTGATTGCCAATGTTTCCTAGCCAAAAAATTAATTAGATGATAGCTAACTGGAACGAATGGGAGGAAAACAGTTCTTCATTGCAGGAAAATGAAGCCCGCTAAGGTGGATTTGCAGTATCACAGACCTCTGAAAAGCGAAAGATGCTGAGGGAACCCTCAGAGCTCAGGTTTCCCCCTCCGGAGCGCAGGCTGGAAGGGATGAAGTGTTGCCACCTCCTGGCATTTACTGCCTCTCGGAGACAGACACTGCATTTAGCACTGCTAAAACGTGCCTGGGTCCAGATACTCTTCTCTCCCTGTAAGAGTTAGTAAAATACGAAGAGCACGTGCAAAAGCTTCCCAAGCAGCATGTTTTAGCAAAAGCGCCTTATTCTGACCCCAGAAGGACTGTTACCCCTATGTTGAGGAAATCTCACAGCTCAGTACTTGGAAGGGCATAAATCTGTGACAGTTACGACATGCAAAGCTATCCACTGCTATTTACTACATTTCTGAGATATTCACAACCCTCTGCCATGTAGGTCTTATATCACTATGCCCCCATTCCAGAACAAAACTCCAAGGCTGGCAATTATTCTCTTTAAATCATCTGGAGGGAACAATATTTATTATGCTACACCCCAAAAGAGTGTTGCCCCAGCAACATTTTCTGTTATAATAGAGCCCACAGGGTCTGAAGTTAGGTGGGGCTGGGATGAGAACTTTTTCAGAGCTTTCAAATCAAAACAGACACAGCAGTGTTAGCAGGTGTGGGGCATCTCTCATTCGTGCTGCTATTGCTTTGCTCCAGAAGTTTTTATTCACAAAATGACCTCAGCAACAGATGATGCACTTCCATCATGAGGCTGAGAAGGGTGCCACTGCAGCTGTATCTCTGGCAATCTCTTTGTGTAAGAACAGACAAATTTCTATCATTTTTTATCTGTCCCACCACACCATTTCCTTCGTCAGCCACACAGAATAGTTTCTATTAGCTCACTTTATGCCCTCAGACCACTCCCGGAATTTGTACCATGCTGCATGTACAAAAACGGGTAAAAATAAAGAGCACCTCTTATCAAAGTTAAAACGAAGGTATAAAGGCACTTAAAATCTGCAAGTCAGTAATGCATAACGTTGCCCTGCTATCGTAATTCTGAGCATCGACCAAGAAAGTTGTTACTTTTAAGAAAGAATGCAATAGGTTTAGTAACATAAGCTTAAAAGTTTGATGATCAACTACAATCTTGGGGGAGGAGAGGAAAAAAAAGGTTGTTTTAAAGAGGATTTTGAGCAAATGCTGGGGACAGACTAGTCTTACCCTGTCTATATACACATACAGGGTACATACACGTACATTTTGCAAGTTCCTGTCACAACAGTGGGAAACACAACCTAAACATAAAAAAAATTAAACTAAATACGTTTAAATAGCCACTGAGAAATCTGCGGCAGATTGAGAGCAGGCTCTTCCTGGTCTATATGGACACTGCCGCTAATTTGGAGCGTTGTACCTGATCGTATCTAATATAAATACTATCTGACAAAGTCTTGCCTTACAAATTTGTGGGCAGTTCTAGTTTGAATAAAACTCCAGCCATTTTCAAGATCTCTTTCCTGCCACTATCTGTGTTCTTCTGCCTCTTACCTACCTTGTACGGGGACACATGCTCTGAGACAGGAGCTAAAACATGGGCTGCCCAAGCCCTGGATGAGCACACAGGTATTTCCCTCTCCGTTGTAACATCATGAGCAGACTATCAAATACAGCTCATTTTTCCCTCCAACACATGCATGGAAAAATTGGCAAACTCAGGAAAATTAAATGTTCTCTAAGTGCAATAGCATTCATGAAATCAGGATGAAAGGTGTCATAATAGATTATTTAAGCTATTACTATAAAGCCCTCATTAGAAACAGAGAAATGTTCTTACTTGGTATTCACTACTGGATAAGCTCCGCTTACACTTCTGACACATTGTCACATTATTAACACATCCATTTTCCAAATGATCTGCCAGTTTCTTTCTCATCACCATGTGTCCACAACCAGTGTGACAAGGGATTAAAGCATATTCACATAAGCTCTGATGCTCCTGGAAGTACAAAGTTATAAACAAAAATGTAAACTGCAGATACACATTTATCTATAAATAGTCTCCATTCTGCCAGCCTAGATCTTTGCTTTGCATTTCTTGTAAGCATGGGTAAAGTCCCACTCCACAACGCTACCGAGATTACTGGTGAAAAATTCACCAACTTTACTGGGGCTTTTTTGTTAATTTTTAGCTTAAGAAATAACCCCAAAACAACTTTTGATAAATTCAAACATGAGGTCTCCCTTGAACTAACTGTCTCTAGTGCTTTTGTTTGAAAATAACATGATCCTGGTCCCAGATTTTTTCCTTGTATTAGAGGATCCCTAACTTTTAGCCTGGGTTTTTCCAGGGTGGTTTTGTTTGGGTTTTTTGGTTTTTTTTTGCAGGGTTTTGGGTTGGTTTTTTTGAGCACTGAGACCATCCTGCTCTGGCTGGTAGGATGAATATGGTTAGTCTGCTGACATCTCTGCATAGCA